TTGCACTTTTTTCCCCTTTTAAACTGCAACACTTTTACTACTAGTCAGAGATCAAACTTTTTTTTTTTTTTTTTTTTTTTTTTTTTTTTTTTTTTTTTGAGACAAGGTTTCTCTGTATAGCCTTGGCTGTCCTAGAACTCATTCTGTAGACCCGGTTGGCTTTGAACTCAGAGATCCGCCTGCCTCTGCCTCCCGAGTGCTGGAATTACGGGTGTACATCGCCACCACCCAGCAAACAGCTCTCTCTCTCTCTCTCTCTCTCTCTCTGTGTGTGTGTGTGTGTGTGTGTGTGTGTGTGTGTTCAAATGCTCCAGTGCGCGCACGTGGAAGTCAGAGGAGAACTTGGAATGAGCCAGTTCTCACCTTCCACCCCGTGTGTTCCATGGATGAAACTCAGGTCTTCCTGCCTGGCAGCAAGTGTCTTTCTCCCCTGGGCCTGAGGTCCAGAGTTTTAATGAAAGTGTCAAAAATATAAATTGGACAGATGATAGCCTTTCCTGTAACAGGTGCTGGAAGACTGGCCGTCCACATACGAACAATGAAATGTCCACAGAGGTGTTCTTGTTCTGTGCCCAAGAAGACAGGTGAAAGAGGAGCCTCTTAGCTGCAGAGAGGGAGAGTCTAGAGGAGACACGGAAGGGAGTGGCCTGAAGAGGCTATGCTTAAGGTGTTCATAGGTTCAAGTGGGCTCTGATTGGCTGGTGTGTGAGAGGCACCACCATTGGAGGGGAAGAACTGTAGCAATAAAAAATGTATGAAAATAGAATAATGAAACCCATTGTTCTGTATTCTATTTTTAAAACTACCAATTGGCCACTTAAGGTGCTAGTGACCCATCGCCTGTTCACAATAACAGTAACAAAAAGAGAATTTCTTCTCTTTGTTGCTTAAAAGAATTTCTGAATTTTAAAATGAGGACAGGTTTAGTCTGAGCATTACATCTTCTTCCTCAAAAACATGCTGATTTGGGAGGGGAGACAAAGGTCATAGTTCACAGACAGTGCTGTTCTGCAGCCCTGCAGGCTAGGCTCAAGGGAGACTGGACAGGGGCAGTCTTCTCAAGTCTGACAGCACAGGTCTCACCTGAGTGTGGAAGACACTTGGAGAACAAGTGGTTTTTGTACTGGTTTTCTCGTTATTGTGACCAACATTTGACAAGCACAAGTAAAGGAAAGAAAAGTTGAGTTTGGCTCACAGTCTTAGGGTTCCATGGTGGAGCAGTCTGGGGTGGCAGGATTGAGACAGCTGGTCACATTGTATCTACAGAGAGGGGTGAGCCTGAATGCTGGCCCTCAGATGGCTTTGCCCTTTTTATTCCCAGCCCATGGAATGATGCCACCCACATCAGTTAACCCAGTCTAGAAAATTGCTAACATCATCTGACCGTGTGTGTGTGTGTGTGTGTGTGTGTGTGTGTGTGTGTGTGTGTGTGTACAAGAGTGTGAGTGCCCACAAAGTACAGAAACTCAGATCCCCTGGAGCTTGAGGCTACAGGCAGTTATGAGCCATCATGCGGATGCTGGGAACCAGCTAGGACCTCTGCAAGAGGGATATAAGCTCTTAGTTATTGAATCATCTTGACAACCCCAATAAATTAATTAAAAATAAGTAAACAGGTTGCTAGTGAGACGGCTCAGTGATTAAGAACACTCACTGTTTGGGACCTGGGTTTGGTTCCTAGAACCCATGTCTAGTTGCCCACTATTGTCTGCAACTCCAGTTCCAGGGGATTTAGATGCCCTCTTCTGGCCTCCATATGGTGCACAGATATGCATACAGGCAGGCACTCATACACATAGAATACAAATAAAGAAACTTTTTGTAATAAGGTGGCGAGCAAGTAAGGACGCGATGTCAACATGCAGCCTCCACACTCACACAGGTGAATGCATAGGTGTATTCCCCCTCACACACAAGCACACATGTGCACACACATTCACCATGCACACACACATATATAATGCACACACAAAACACTGCTAGTTTGCTGATGAACCCCCAGTGTTTGAGGCTTTTCTGAAACAAGTTAGAACTCTATGACAAATAAGTTATTATCTAGTTCAAAAGTACATTGACTCACACACTGCTTTACACGCACTGTGTAACACACACACTGCTTTACACACACATTGCTTTGCACACACTGTGTACCATGCACACTGCTTTACACACACACTGTGTAACATGCACTGCATAACAGGCACACACTGCTTCACACACACACACTGCTTTACACACACACTGCTTTACACACTGCTTTGCACACACACTGCTTTACACGCACTGTGTAACACACACACTGCTTTACACACACATTGCTTTGCACACACTGTGTACCATGCACACTGCTTTACACACACACTGTGTAACATGCACTGCATAACAGGCACACACTGCTTCACACACACACACTGCTTTACACACACACTGCTTTACACACTGCTTTGCACACACACTGCTTTACACGCACTGTGTAACACACACACTGCTTTACACACACATTGCTTTGCACACACTGTGTACCATGCACACTGCTTTACACACACACTGTGTAACATGCACTGCATAACAGGCACACACTGCTTCACACACACACACTGCTTTACACACACACTGCTTTGCATACACTGTGTACCATGCACACTGCTTTACACACACACTGTGTAACATGCACTGCATAACAGGCACACACTGCTTCACACACACACACTGCTTTACACACACACTGCTTTACACACACACTGCTTCACACACACACTGCTTTATACACACACTGCTTTACACACACTGTGTATCATGCATACTGCTTTACACACACTGCTTTACACACACACTGCTTTACACACTGCTTTGCACACACACTGCTTTACACGCACTGTGTAACACACACACTGCTTTACACACACATTGCTTTGCACACACTGTGTACCATGCACACTGCTTTACACACACACTGTGTAACATGCACTGCATAACAGGCACACACTGCTTCACACACACACACTGCTTTACACACACACTGCTTTACACACACTGTGTAACATGCACACACTGCTTTACACACACTGCTTTGCACACACACTGCTTTACACACTGCTTTACACACACTGCTTTACACACACTGCTTTACACACTGCTTTACACACACTGCATAACAAACACTCACTGCTTTACACACACTGCTTTACACACTGCTTCACACACACACTGCTTTACACACACACTGCTTTACACACACTGCTTTACACACATTGTGTAACATGCACTGCATAACAGGCACACACTGCTTCACACACACTGCTACACACACACTGCTTTACACACACACTGCTTTACACACACACTGCTTTGCCCTAAGACTTACACCAAGTGTTCGTGAAAGAAGAGAATCTCAGGCGGCATCCACTCCTAGCCCATGGCCCTGCTCACTTTGCTTTGGTGCGTTGTGGTTTTGGTCACTTGTATACACAACAAAGTTCAAATGAGTAGTCACAGGAACCCTTCCTGGCCGACGTGGGCAAGTCCAGTGTGTGTTATCCATACGTAATGTGTAATCATTATACACAGAGGAGCAGGCAGAAGGCCTGGGGAGCTCTTGGCAGCTGTGCTGTCTGGTTAGAAAGGAAGGAAGTTACCGAGTTCGGACATTCAGTTCTGAGACAGGATCCCTGAGTCAACAGGACTTTAATTATGTATGTGGCCTAGAAGAGGCATTTACGCAAGAGGAACATATTGTTGTCAAATGTGTTTGTGATTTGCTCATGGTTCAGAATTGGAAAGAAGCCTAAAGCAACTTCTGAAGGTACATGGCTGCTCTGAAGAGCATAAAGCATAAAGTAAAGGTACCTGGGTCACGAGGGAAATCATTTATACCCTTGGCCCTCCACATCCCACCTCTTGCCTAACACAGTCCCTTTTATTTTACATTATTATCCTTGAAGTATCTTACACATTTATTCTATCTAACCAGACGGCACGGGGCACTTGTGTAAAAGCATCACTCAGGAGGCTAGCACAGGAAGTTCTCAAGTCAAGGCCAGCCTGAGGTGCGGAGCAAGATTCTGTCTCATAAAAACAAAACAAAACCAAAAGAGAACTTTTAACTTTAAACCCGTGTTCTCCTGTCATGGTGTTGAAGTGACTCAGAGACTTGTGTTTACATTTATTTTGTCCTTGTGTGTGTGTTTTAGAATGATTTTGGGAAACGCTAAAAATTCCCTATACAGAAAAACCTATTCTGAGTTATGGCAGCTATCCTAGATCTTATGGATAGCTTAGCAGGGATTAGGGAGCCTTAAGGATGCCGTGGAAGGCAAAGAATTTAGCTTTCCTAACAGTAAACTTCTCTTCCTTGACTCCATTGATTTATGAACTGATTGACAGAACCTTTCATTCAGGGTTTACAAAGCACCTACAGTGTCAATTCTGTAATTTAGGCATCAGGTGGAGACCTATGAATAGCCCCATTTAATTTATCTTCTGAATGTATCTTTACTTAATTCTCCTTCTCAACACCCATCAATGTATACTGTATTATTTAACGACAATTTCTGCTCTGGATAGCTAACTGTTGCTGATCCTGGTGCCAGCTAGCTTTCTGTCGATACGTCAAAATGCCTGAGGGAAGTCAACTTGGGAGAAAGAACTGTTTGCTTTGGCTCACAGTTTCAGAGGTCTAACTCCATGGTTGCTTTCAGCCTATTGTTGGCAATGTAAAGTGTGTTAGCGAGGAAGATGGTTTTCCTTACGGCAGCCAAGAAGGAGAGAGACAGAGAAAGAGGCGTTTGAGCCCTAGTATGTCCTCAGGGGCCTGTGCTCAATGGCCTAACTTCCTTCCATCAGGCCCTAGCTCCTAAAGATAATTTTAACTTCCACCCACACCACAGGGTGGGGAAGTCTGTAGATAAAACCTCAGAAGGAATACTTAATATCCAAACCATACCAAGCCTTGCTAAACATTGCCCTGAGGGATTCTCTATATTGTCTAATTTTCACAACAGGCAACCTGATGCAGTAAGATTTATTAGCAATCCAATCGAAACAGGAAGAGCTGTGTACAGACAGGAGAATCAGCTTGCTCAAGGTTACCCACCTGGTAAGTGAAGTAAGTAAAGCCAACTCTATGACCCGAGACTTGTTCTTGTCCCAGGCTGCTATACCTCCTGGAATCATTAACTCATGGGTTTTTAAAAAAATTATTTAACAATTTCATATATGTATATATTTTTGTCATTTTCATCTCTATGGGTTTTGTCTTTCTTAAAGATTGGGTGTTAATTCCCAAGGTCACTTCTAGTCATCATTAAAAGTTAATTTTGGTGGTACATGCCTTTAATCCTAGCACTCGGGAGGCAGAGGCAGGTGGATCTCTGTGAGTTTGAGACCAGACTGGTCTACAAGAGCTAGTTCCAGGACAGCCTCCAAAGCCACAGAGAAACCCTGTCTTGAAAAACCAAAACCAAACAAACAAACAAACAAAAAACCCACAAAAAGTTAATTTTAAGTTAAAAAACCAAAAAGAAAGGCTGTTTGGATGGCTCAGTTGGTTAAGGCACTTACTAGCAAACCTGGTGACTGAAGTTCAATTCCCATGATCTCCATGGAAGAAGAGAGAACAGAACTCCAGAGAGCCTTTGCTCATGCCTGGTAGCTTAAACACCCCTCATACACACAAAATAAATCCATACATAATGGATGTGTGGGTGTGTGGGATGGCCGAGCAGATGAAAGGTGTCACTGCCGAGCCTGGCGACTCCACTTTGATCCCCTGTGCTTCCAGGGTGGAAAGAGAGACCTGGCTCTTGAAAACTATTCTGTAACTTCCACATGTACCAGACACACAATCAGTTAAAAAATCAAGGAAGTTCAAAAGTAGCTTTTACCATTCGCGTTCATCCTTTTTTCCCCCTCAGAAGCCCACCCATAGACGTTTGTCTGTTTGTGTTGATGCAGTCACCGTTACCTTTTGTTGTGTCGTTGTTGTTTGTTGTGTTTTGAGAGAGGGTCTCACTGGGTAACCCAGGCTTTCTCTCCCCGCCTTTCTGTCTTCCTGCCTCAGCCCCTCAGTGCTAGGATTACAGTCTGCTACTGTCATGCTCAATTTGAGGTTATGGTTAATGAAAGCAATAAAACTATCAGAACCTCCAGGTACTTTAGATTTTGAGACATTCAGATTTTGCTTTTGATGTTTCTGTGTCTTTGTGTGGGTATGTACATGTGTGTGAGTATGTGTGTGCATGCGTGAGGAGCCATCGGACCCTGGAGCTGGAGTTAAAGGCAGTTAGGAGCCATCCAACACAGCTGTTGCAAACTGACAGGGTCCTTCACAGGAGCAGTACAAACTCTTAACTGCTGAGCCATCTCTCCAACTCCTCCCTGAGGTTCTGAAAGCCCCTTTACAGTTCTTAATGACTCTCTTTAAGTCTTGTAACACAACAAGATCAACATTGTACATCTATAAATTCATCTAAAATAAATTATTTTAGGAGATAATGATTTTGCCCCTCTACTGTCCATACATACTAAATTAATCCTTAGTTCTGTGAGAAACTAAAGGAGCTTACAGCCCACTTGATGAGAGAAAGAATGTACCTAGGGTGGGCAGCACTGGCTTTGGCAGCGTAGAGAGAGGTTACAGAACAAGTCAGCATCACACCTAAAAAGG